GGTTTAAGTACCATTTTGGTCCCTCAACTTCTCACTTTGGTACCAAAATTGTCCTTAAACTTTAAAAAGTACCAAAATTATCCTCAAACTTTCATTTTCGGTACCAAAATGGTCCTTCCGTCAGTTAAATGACAGGTGGCACGTTATCTTGCCACAAAATCACATATTTTTTAAAAATAATAATTATGTGGAAAATAAACTTGATGACATGGCATTTTTTTTTTCATATGCATTTTTTTCTTATTTAAATAAAAACCCATATAATTTATTATTATATTCTTCTTCTTCTTCTTCCTCCCTTCTTCTCTCTCATCCCTCCACCCCTTCCTCTTTCCCAGCCTTCTTCCTTCGCACCATGAATGGGTTCGTTCAGCAAGCAGAGAGCATGAGTAAAGGTATCTCTCGAAGAAAACTGTAACTTTGCATTTTCTAGTGTGCCTTTTGCTGCCATCCGAAATCCAGATCTTCTTCTCTCAAACCCAGATCTGGGTTTCACAAATCTGGGTTTTCTATAGTGATTTTGATCGTGGTTTTTTCTTTGTAAGTTTGAAAGTTGAAACATCTCTGCGGATTTTGGGTTGTCACTATTGTTGTCTTTAATTGTTGACATTTTTCTACGCTAAGATTGAAACTTGTTTGCTTTCCTAGAAAATTTGGCTCGTTTTCTTTCTGGGTTTTCCTTCTTTCTGGATTGAAACAAGTTCGTCGACGAAAATCGTGACTATGCCGACTTCGTCTCTCGCCTGGACACCTAATCCATTACCAAGTTCGTAAATTTATTCTTCAATTTATCTCAAACACTCATTTTCTTTACGAATTTCTTAATTTATGTGATGAAACTCGATCTGGGTTTGTTAAAGCTCCGATTTTCTTCTTGTTCAACAAGGGTTTGATTTTCTTCTGCAGTTGCAGCAATTAAGCCGTCGACAACAAGATCTCAGCCTTTCCTGGGAGGGAAGGAAACTAAGCCGTCGATCTAATTTGTATTCGGTGTTTTCGATTGACTTTTGGATCCTCTTTGTGCTGATTTGAAGGAATTTTAACTGAGTTGGAGCCAATTTATTTTGATTTAATTTAAACTGCAAACCCAAATCTGGGTCCTTGGTGATGAATGGCGTAGGAATTCTTTGACCTTGGTGATGAATCGGAAGGCAGCGTCACGGTGGAGGAGAGAATCGAAGGAGGGGATCCGAGTGGAGTCTGGCTGGACAGGGCAGATGTAGAGGGAATCGGGTTTGAGAAAGTTTGGGTCTGTGCTTCTTGGGGATTTTAGTGGTTTTGTTCTTTTGCTTATTTTGTGTTTTCTATGTGTATTTTCTGAGTTGATTAAGTGGTTTTTGTGTTGATTATTTTTGAGATTAGATCTGTAGTTGGCTTTGGCTTGTATGTGATTTGGCTCGAATTGCTTTTTTTCTAGAAATTCTTTACTGTTTTTAATCTATGTTCCTTTCTGTTAGTTGGCTTGGGAGATCTCGGCTTTGCTATTTAGTATATTCGAGATTAGTTTCCATGTTATGTGATGAAACCCAGATCTGGGTTTGAGAAAAACCCAGATCTGGGTTTCAAAAGAAGAAGAAGAAAGGAGAAGAGAGAGAGAGAGAAAGAATAAGAAGAAGAAGGAAGAAGGATGAGCAAGGAAAGGAAAGGAGGAAGAAGATGAAGTTTGCCAGAGAACCCAGATCTGGGTTTGCAGAGGCAAGGAAAAAGGAAAGGTAAAAGAGAGAGAAAGTGAAAGAGGAAGAAGAGATGACGTGGATGAAAAAATCGAAAGCCTAGGTTTGCAGAGGTATCGAGCGTCCACTCCAGCGCGTAGGCGCTGTGCTCGCTGTCATCGACGGCGACGATCATCACTTTCTCGGTGGTTTGAGAAAACCCAGAGCCTGGGTTTGCAAAGGTAAGAGAAAAGGAAAGATAAACGAGAGAGAAAATGAAAGAGGAAGAAAAAAATCTGACGTGGGTGAAAAAAAAAA